ACGCTGGGCGGGGGAGGGGCGCGTGTCGGTCGTGTTCGCTCCGGGAGGCTTGGGGGACACGAGACCCACGCTACTGATTTGGGTTGCCGAGGAGGGGTGGCCGGCCCCGGCCACCCACTGACTGCACCACCCCGGGGCTTCAAGTCCCAGCTCCTCCAGGAATTTGCTTTCGTGGCCTGAAAAGTTCCTGTCCTGGCTCCAGCCTCAGTTTCCTGCTATGTGCAAGGGAGAGAGAACTGCTGTGGTGTGTTCGTGTGTGTGTGTGCGTGTGTGCGCGTGTGTGTGTGTGTGCGTGCGCCTGCGCGGGAGCCCGGCCTCCCGTGGGAAGTGCGTCGTGTCCCAGCAGGCAGCTGAGGGCAGAGGGCCGAGGGCGGAGGGCAGGAGGTGGAGGGCGGGGTGGCCTGGCTGCCAGCGCAGGTGGGGCCCTCTCTGTAGAGCAGCAGCCAGGGTAACTCAGGTTCTCAGGTGGCGGCTGAGCTCTCACTCAGAGTCGCTGGGGAGGGGAGGGTGGGCCACTCAGGGAGCCAGCGACCCAGCTCAGAAAGCGACACCACCCCTGTCATCCCAGCAGTCGGAGGCTGAGGCAGGAGGGTCGCCCAGAGTTCCAGGCCAGCCTCGGCTACAGAGTGAGTTTGAGGCAGCCTGAACTATAAGACAAGGCCCTGTCTCAAAAAACAAAACAAAATAGAAAAGGGAAAAAGACCAGACTTTTGAGGTCACAGACCTGTCTTGGGGCTCCGGAAATCCTGGGATTGCACCCCAGGTGCTGCTGCGGGGAGGGGGGGTTAGGGTTATAGGCTCTGTAGGGGCCCTGTCCCCCCATCTCCACCCCTCTGGCATCTGCCCGCGCTATTTCTGGCCTCCTATCTCTGGTTTTCTGGTCTCCTGTTTCCCTTCTGGCATTCCAGCCCCGCCCACACGCCTCCGGCCCTCCACTGAGTGTCGCAGTGTCACAGCCTGGCTGCCACCTCTGTAGTTAGGAGCCCTCCCAGGCTACACCGCCTC